GAAAAACATTGGAAAAAGAAAATATATCTTCATGTTTACACAAAGATTCGCCTCCCAGTGGCTTAGCGGCAAATCTGTAGGCTTATAACGCTAAAAACGGGTTTCGATGCCCGTGCTGGCCACAACACATATAACTCATTGTGTTGATTTGTACTTAACGACAAAAAAGTACGAGGATTATAAAATACGAAATAAAGATTATAAATATGTATAAAATGACGATTTTCATCTCTGTGATCTATGTAATGATACGAAATCTACATATTAGAAATCTAAAATAAAGATAAGAAAAATAAAAAAAAATAATGGCAAGATCTATTGCTTTTAAGTAAGGAAAAGATTCGTTATTAGAATTTCCTTTATTGTTTGATCAGTGGTTCCATACTTTTAACATCATGACCAGTTGTTATCACTTTACCACAACTATTATGCAGGAAATCAGCATTATGAACACAACTAAAATATCACGTAAAACGAACATTAGACCTACTTTTAGGCCTATGAAACTTACATTACGACTGAGCTCAGTACCTTTAGCTTCACAGTTAAATGTTTTGATACCACCAAAAGTATTCCTCTCATCAAAATGGTTATTTTGAATAAAAGCTTTAGTACTGACTGCTTTAAATTTAACTATTTTATCTTGAAGTTGAACTTGTTTAAGTTATGTTCAAGTAGACTATATTATCAGTACAAACACACTGTAAAAAAATACACAAGATGTGGAAAAATGTTGTAACAGATACTGTAAGAAGTTTATCACAAGCTGATTGTCTCCTCTCCATTAACGAACCATCTGCGAACAGAATTCCTTTAGTCCTTACATACCATCAATTAAACAGCAGAATTGTCCAATGCAACGTTAATTTACTAACAGCAGACCATATACCTGACCATATATTTATTTCCTCACGTTTAACTTCTTTCAAACGCGAGAAAAGTCTAAAAGACTGCTTAGTGCATACTAAATTACAAACTAAATCGACTTCTTCCACACAAGCCAACGGAACTAGAGCATGCGGACGAACTATTTGCCTCACATGTAACTATATCACTGACTTGATCACTTTCTCCACTGCTACCTTTACCTTTCACGTAAAAGGGCAATTCACCAGTACATCAGAGTATAACTATATCACTGACTTGATCACTTTCTCCACTGCTACGTTTACCTTCCACGTAAAAGGCCAATTCACTAGTACATCAGAGTGTAACTATATCACTGACTTGATCACTTTCTCCACTGCTACCTTTACCTTCCACGTAAAAGGGCAATTCACCAGTACATCAGAGTATAACTATAGCACTGACTTGATCACTTTCTCCACTGCTACCTTCACCTTTCACGTAAAAGGCCAATTCACTAGTACATCAGAGTGTAACTATATTACTGACTTGATCACTTTCTCCACTGCTACCTTTACCTTCTACGTAAAAGGCTAATTCACCAGTACATCAGAGTATAACTTTATCACTGACTTGATCACTTTCTCCACTGCTACCTTTACCTTCCACGTAAAAGGGCAATTCACCAGTACATCCGAGTATAACTATATCACTTGACTTGATCACTTTCTCCACTGCTACCTTTACCTTCTACGTAAAAGGCTAATTCACCAGTACATCAGAGTATAACTATATCACTGACTTGATCACTTTCTCCACTGCTACCTTTACCTTCCACGTAAAAGGCCAATTCACCAGTACATCAGAGTATAATTATATTACTGACGTGATCACTTTCTCCACTGCTACCTTCACCTTCCACGTAAAAGGCCAATTCACCAGTACATCAGAGTATAATTATATTATTGACGTGATCACTTTCTCCACTGCTAACTTCACCTTTCACGTAAAAGGCCAATTCACTAGTACATCAGAGTGTAACTATATTACTGACGTGATCACTTTCTCCACTGCTAGGTTTACCTTCCACGTAAAAGGGCAATTCACCAGTACATCAGAGTGAATCGTTTACTGCATTTGGTCTACTAGGTGCACTAATATCTATATTGGAGAAACTATATGGAGGTTAGGCGATAGATTTCGAGAGCATTTTCGACGTGTACACAATGGCATATTCGACCACCAAATCCCTAAACACTTTAATTCCCCAGACCATAAGCGAATTGATGACACGAGTGTACAAAAAATCTCATAGTGAAAGCCTAGAGCATAAGCTTATATTCAAAGTAAATTCAGTGACACTTAATGGTATTAACCAACGTTTCTTTTTCAAGTAATTACATATTCTGTTAGTATGTCTTTTATTACACATTTTATGAGTTGGTCTATTACTAATGTAACAATACTTTCTCATTTCTCTATATAAATATTACTTTTTTATTCCTTTCTATTTTCTATTTTACTACGTCATTTACATATTCTTGTAATTACGTAATTGTTTATATTTGATTGTTATATGACTAGGCTAGTATGTACGAGGAGTGTCCGAAAAGTTCGTGACCCGACGTATACCAGAACACCCTCTCCTAATATTGCTTTTATGTTCTGTGGAAGTTTTGCGGTGTTATTTGCTTTTCTATAAAATATTTGATCACGGTACAAAGTATGATCTTCTCCTTGACATTTAACACTTCCCCCTTTCTTTCCTTCAAAAACCCATAAAATATTTGATCACGGTACAAAGTACGATCTTCTCCTTGACATTTAACACTTCCCCCTTTCTTTCCTTCAAAAACCCATAAAATATTTGATCACGGTACAAAGTATGATCTTCTCCTTGACATTTAACACTTCCCCCTTTCTTTCCTTCAAAAACCCATAAAATATTTAATCACGGTACAAAGTACGATCTTCTCTTTGATATTTGACACTGATCTCTTCTTTCCTCCAAAACCCGCGAAACACAAAATAAACTTGTTATTTTATATGTTACGTGGTGTTTATTCATAAAAAGGTTCAACTTAATTAATATTTATCAGAAAAAATCATTATTTCCAGTTTTTTTAGGTCGGGCCACGAACTTGTCGGACAACCCTCATACAACGTTTTCTCTCTCATATTACACTTTTTATTCGTGTCCCACGTTCTGTTCTTTGCATGAGCTCTAACTATCATTATGTATTTTTTTTTATAAATTATAAATATTTGGTATATTTTGTAATTTTAACCACTAAACGAAGGGCATATGCCTGAAATGTAGCTAATAAAACAACTTTATTTAATAGATGTCTGTTTTAACTGTTTACAATATCTCTTGATATACCATAAGTAAGGCTTAAGCTCAGCAGTCCTATAAAACAGTAACATTCGGTATTTGCCAAATAATTTCATCATAGCACGAAATGAAAAGCAGTTCATTACATAAGTTTTGGTCTTTGGAGACGTTACTTACGGTATTCTTCATAGTAAAAGTAGAGCTTTATAAATTAAAACTCTAGCATTTCGGACTATAGCCTATACAACATTACAAGGCTTGTATATGGAGTAAGTAGCTTTGATAAACGTATAAACATATACTAGAACCTTATGTCAGCTTCTTTTTACCTTTTATAATAACTTGTTAAAACACTTGGATATACTTTTACATTAGCCTACATCTGAAACATAAGAAATATGGAAAGATTTCTGTTTTAAAGAATTTCGTTCCTTTTTAATCCTTCAAAAGAAGGGTTTCTAGCTCACATCGGTTAAATCTAATAAACTAACTATGTGATCTTCATTGTGGCGTCGCATAGCGACAGACATACCAGTCCATTTGCCCCCTAGTGTGGACTTACAACGCTAAAAACCGGGTTTCGTTACTCATGCTGGGCACAGCACAGATAGCCCATAACGTAGCTTTGTACCTAATGCCTAAAAAAAAACAAATAAGCTTTCGACATTAATGTAAATCTATTAAAGAATAACTTTAAAAAAAATTTGATGGAAATTATAGAGCATAAGTAAAAGTAGTTAAAATAAAGTTTAAACCTTTGGTTGGGTTTCCCAAACACGTGACAGCAGTCTTTCAAACCTTCCATGCGCTCTTCACGTGATTCGTGACCGTCGAGAAACAAAATTTCGAAAGTAATATTTTCAAAATGTAAGTATTTTTAATGAATTTACTCCCAAAGAGGGACCTTTTGTATTTATCCATTTTTTGTTCTCTGACGAACTTTTTAATGGATATAGACAGTTTAGTTTGTTTTGAATTTCGCGCAAAGCTACACGAGGGATATCTTAGCTAGCCGTCCCTAATTTATCAGTGTAAGATTAGAGGGAAGGCAGCTAGTCATCATCACCCACCGCCAACTCTTGGACCGTCACATTATAACGCCCCCACGGCTTAAAGGGCGAACATGTTTGGTGGAACCACCTGGCCATGCTAGGCCCAGATATAGATCACTTGGGAAAGATATACATATAATTTCAGGACAGTAAAAACAAGCAGCTTTTATTTTTCTGTTTAACACTTCAGAAATGAGTCTTGTTTTATAAGCTTGTAGCTCTGTATCCTGATTTTAAGACTGAATTTAGTTTTAATAGTATTATATTTGTTAAGACACTAGAAAATTCGTTTTCTGTTGTTAACAAAACCTCTAACTAAAGTGAACATTTTCATACTAGTTTGATAATACAAATTATATGTTTATTAATTTAAAATAGGTAAAAAAAGTGAATACTTCTCTTATTGAAGTGTATTTCCAAAGAACAGTCTGTGTAGAAAGTCTAAATTTAAATAACTTTTCGGTTATCTTTAATTCCATAGAGTGAGATTGAGATTGACTAAACGTTTTCCATATTTATCTCTTTCCCATAAGAATGACCATTGAGACGTATAAACCATGAGTTAACTTTTGCTTAAGAAACTTGTTAAAGCCTTTTCATATTATCGAGAAAAATAAGCACACAAAGAATAAAAATACTTGACATGGGATATCATAAACTTTTTTATGATACTGGCATAATAATTGTCATGGATTTTAATTAATTAATTTTATCTCAAACTTTAAGATAAATTATTATATTGTTATCAATGTATTTAATAATTACAGATAGAAATTCTGCTAAATGTTTATGAGTTATTGACAATAGAAATGGTTTCATATGAGAGCTGTAACAACCTAGCTAACATACGAGACAACAGTGAAGCACTTTTCAAATTAATGCTGACTAGTGTGGACACGGATTATCATTCTAACTTGATGCTGTCAACGTCTACTGCAAGTACAACCATTTATACCGCACGAGTTTATACTTCAGTCTTGAACAATGAACTATTCAAGATCCACATCCGATTATTAAGACCCGGTCATTATTATGCGGTAAGTTGTTTTAAAATAAAAGCCTTCAACATATCAAATAATAATTTCAACTTTATATTAAAATGGTAGAATATAATTTTTTTAGAATTATTAATACTTTTGCGCATAATATAAACTGTGATCAGAACCACCATTTGTTGTTACATTCTGTTAAGAAAAAATCATAATGATCAAAGTTCTTCAATGTATAGCATTTAGTTAAATTCGTGGCTTTGATATTTCAGTTGACAGAATTAAAAACATGTATCAATTCGTGGCTATGTGGAAAGGAAGTGACATGTCACCTTCATAGATTTAATGTTTTTATACACACCTTTTCATCTTCTACATTCCCGAAAAAAAGCGACTTGAAGAAGGCATCACTTGATTTAGTGCTCAGTCCTATTGTTCATCTCAAGATGTGGACTTCTGACAATAATTTAGAAAGTGAGCTCAACAATAGAAGTATTAAAATATTGTTTCAATCTCTGACAAGAGTAAAGAAGGTGGACACATTACAGGTTAGTTTCATGTTTTCAAAAAAATAAAACGTAATACTGCACAAACTTAGCCTATTTACTTTTCGACTTACTCATACCTTACTAATAAAACTACAATGGTAGGATAAACCACACAAAATCGATAGTTCGAGAGTTCTATTGAATTTTCTTACTCGCAAAGGCCTGCCCGTTCTCAACATTTCTTTAATGTATTGGGATCTGGGAAATATCCATTATGACCGATTTAGTCCCATATAATCTGCTTTTTTTTTAAATACTAATGTAGCTTAATTGGCTCTGCTCTTCTGCCTGATCTCACTTTCTGCTTAATTACTCTTTTTTGCCTCAGCGGGTGATTTGCTGGTTTCACCCTCCTTTTTTCAAGCTTGCTTCATTGGCGCTTTCTTCCACTTCGATTATTTGTGACTACCATATTCATTTTCTGACTGATTCATTATTTTCTCAATTTTTTGCATTTATTTAGCATTATCCTGAATTTATTTCCTTTACTATTTTAAAGTAGCAAGATCAAAAAATCTCCTGCCAAATACATTGTCTGACAAAATTCTACTTTATTTGCTTAAACTTTAGATTATTCAATGAAATAACCTTTTAAACTTATGAACTGTGTTAGAAATTGTGCACGAAAAGTAAACACAAATGTACCGGAGACATAAATTAAGTATCAGTTTCATTGCAGAGTGTCTGATGTGAGCTTGACCATCATCATTAAAGTGGCAAAAAATTACTGCGGCTGAATATCATCATTTGAAATTCAAACAGTCCATTTCCTGTATTTACAGCAGCCTTAACTCTACTTTCATCATCAATCTTTAATTTACAATAGCTAGTTGGACGTAAGACCTAACTCTTCAACCATCCCTCCGAATTATGATGGCATTTGTCTCTACGAGGGTGTAGAAATGCACGAAAGTGAGACATCACACGTAGTCTACATTGTACGTTGTGCCCTTTCTTCTGTTTTATAATGTATAGTTGTCTAAGCACAGCGTTGTGCCCTTTCTTCTATTTCATAATATATAGTTGTCTAAGCACATGTTTTCTCACTGTGCATGATTCAAAACAAACCTCTATCTTCTGGCTATATCCATGGTACTCCAGTGAACCTACACAATGGTCTTATTATTGGAAATGTGTCATCGATGTCTGTTTAATCGCATCTTTTAATTTCTTTACCAAGAGACCACCTGATTGTATAAAAACGTTGTTATATTCTGCCAGGAGGTTACTGAGAGTACTTCTACAGATTTTGATTGTATTTGTTAACACATTTCTGAATTTTTTATGTGTTTTAAAACATGGTTTAAGTGAATAAATGCTAATAATAGATTTTACTTTATTTACTTATGCTGGCTGTTAGAGTAAAAACTTCAACTGAGTTTATGTAGTACTGCAATAGTGGCGGCAATTGTTTTCATTGCATTCCTCCATAGATAGTGCTAGTGCACTCTCTGAGATATATTAGACGTTTGGATGTTCTCTTCCCTCACTGTGTCTTTTTTTTTTTCATGATTAATTGATAAAATCGTGCAATTCTTGTGCTTTGCTTTCCCTTCTTATGTCCATTAACTTTATTTTCCTCCCACCCCTCTCTAGTTTCTGATCTTTTTTCCATCCCTACATCCTAACAATTTTAAAATAAAATTTTTTGTTACTAGTTATTGCATTTTTTACGAGTCGAAGTCTTGGCTTCCAATGAGGCGGTAACTTTTAAGTGGGAGGCACCTTTTCACCAACTTATTCAGTTCTATTCTATAGGGAGCCATAACACAATTTACAGACATTTCTGGAAGCAAGATAACTCATGACCAGGATACTGCACGACGCGGTAAAGAGTATACTCTAGATTATCTGCTTCCACATAACGCATATAATGGCTTGCTGATCAGAGATCGGGATATTAAATTTGAACTGTAACTAACTTATCATGGATCACTTGCCGCTCTAGGTATGAAATGACACATCCTAAGGAGTAGTGAAGTGTTGTAGTGTGCAGGCTGGTCGTAGGCACACTGTGATATACGAGTTACAACTGACCGAAAAGAAGAAGAATCGATCTTTTTGCGGTCCGTTTTTTAGAAGGTGAGCGAAATCTGAAAATCATGTTACAAAGTTGATTAGTAACTAAAAATTATAATATAATATCACAATAACTAGTTTACTTAGTTATTTGCAGAAGTGGTAAACGGACGAATAAAACAATGATTATATATATATTAAACAACAGTTGAGTTTAAGTGTGAACATTTAGAACAATATCTAACAGAACCGACCGCCCATTACTTAAACGCAGCCACTCATCTATTCGTTCACATTCTGAAACCACAAGTCACAATATTTCATTTAACGATTTCTCTGTCATTACCACAGGACCTTCAGACCTTGAACTCTACATTAAATAAAGTCTACTCGTAGCTAAAGACCGCCTGAATTTTAACGACTCACAAAGTTCTTTGGATCTAAAATCGTTCTCAATTTCACACTTAAACTCAACTGTTGTGTAATATATAATCATTGTTTATTCGTCCGTTTACAACTTCTCTTAATAACTAAGTAAATTAGTAATTATGACATTATATTGTGATTTTAGTCAGTAGCATCTTTGTAACATGATTTTCAGCTTTCGCTTAAGATTGAATGAGTGCATTCCGAAACTTTCGAACTTTGTAAATAAAATATTCTGTGTTTTATCAACCGTCTTTATCTTCATTATTAGACTTCTTCACAATATGCTTTATGTAGTATTCAGTGTTATGTTATTCCTATTATGATTTTTCTTTTTGGTAGGTGCCAAAGCTCTTATTTTAACGTTAAATTATATTACGTACAATTGAGGTCCGAAAGCACAGTAACAGGGAGGCTAATAAACTGATAACCTAATTCAGAGTTTTTGTAAAAGCGTTTCGTAGCTTAACTTTTACACGTAATCAAGACTATTTATTAAAATAATTGTAATTATTATTCTGTAAGCATACTATTTTTTGCAGTAGATGTCCTTACAAAAATAAAACATGTAGAAAATAAAGACTTTAATTTTCATGTGCAATTGCTTTAACATGTTTAACATGGCCTTGTCTGCTTTTTTTTCTTAGTGTGTAACATGGAACATAAACCTTTGGGAAGCAACACCATGTCTTAACGTTAAATTGATTAACGGAAATATAGAATGCAACTGTCCTATAATGAAATACATAGGGTAAGTACTACTGTTTGTAACAATTAATGTCTTACCTTATTGAAATTCAAAGTAAACAACCTGTAATTCAACTAACAGGTTTTTCAGCATTTGTTACATCTTTATAGAATGACATTTTTTGGTAACAATAAAATTCCCGTTTGTGGAATAGCTAGTTTATTATTTTATAATAACAAGATAATAAATTATGTATGATGGTTGGTTTCCTAAAGTAATACTATTGTCATCAGTACAAATAAAATCTCCTCTGTTTGTTGCTGCACTGTGTAAAGCAATCTCAGCCTATGGATATTTCGAGGCTGTCTTAGAATATTTATGGACTTTATTCACCACAAACTTTAATTATATTTGTAATAATTATGTTTTTTTTTTATCAGAAAAATTATAATTGCGTTTGTGATGTTTGCCCATTTCATGGATGTATTTACTCCAACTAGTCAACTTGATCATATTTGTCATGTAGAAAGTTTGTTTGTTTGTTTGTTTGTTTTGAATTTCGCGCAAAGCTACACGAGGGCTATCTGCGCTAGCCGTCCCTAATTTAGCAGTGTAAGACTAGAGGGAAGGCAGCTAGTCATCACCACCCACCACCAACTCTTGGGCTACTCTTTTACCAACGAATAGTGGGATTGACCGTCACACATGTAGAAAGTTGTTGTATGAAAACATTCCTTCATCTCTCGGATGTTAAGCAGTTCCAACAGGACATCTGTACAACATTTCTCTTGCGATCTGTAGAATTATTCGTAATTGTAGAAGAGTCGAACAAAACAAACCAGAGTTTTTGAAATGTTCCAGAATATTAATTATGATATTCACGAGTGTCACAGATTACTAGGTCGCGGGTTCGAATCTCCGTCCCATCAAACATGCTCGCCCTTTCAGCCGTGGGGGCGTTATAATGTGACGGTCAATCCCACTATTCGTTGGTAAAAGAGTAGCCCAAGAGTTGGCGGTGGGTGGTGATGAATAGCTGCCTTCCCTCTAGTCTTACACTGATAAATTAGGGACGGCTAGCGCAGATAGCCCTCGTGTAGCTTTGCACGAAATTAAAAAACAAACAGATTACTCAAAGATTTAATGTAAAGACGAATGTACTTAAAATAGTTAAAATTGTATGACTTTGTTTAAACTTAATAAATCAGTAAACAAAACAAATAAGATGTGTCACATTTTCTCCAGGCTTATTTGTTGGTAGTGAAGAAAATTTACGAATAAAAATAACTGGAAAAATGGTATTTTTAATTTTTTATGAATATTTTAATTATTTTAAAGAGTATTTCAAGAAAAAAATAATTGTTTAAAGCCGAATATTAATTCAAAACCATTTCACCGTTTAGTTATTATAATAATGATAGGATATCATAAGTTTTCAAAATAATACAGAATTTATTATATTAATGTTCACAGTAGTAACATTCTAAATACAGTATAAACGAGTCATTATTTCATGAAATAATTGTTGGTTGTTCAGCATAACCCTACTATAAAATAATCACCTTTAACTTTATCGATGGCTCGGCATGGCCAAGTGGTTAGGTAGCTTGACTCTTAATATGAGGGTCACTGGTTCGAATCCCCGTCCCACCAAACATGCTCGCCATTTCAGCTGTGGGGCATTATAATATGACAGTGAAGCCCACTATTCGTTGGTCAAAGAGTAGCCCAATAGTTAGCCGTTGGTAATGATGACTAGTTTCCCTCCCGCTAGTCTTTCACCCCTAAACTAGAGACGGCTAGCGCAGATAGCCCTCGTGCAATTTTACCGAAATTCAAAACAAATTATTCAATTGTTTTAATATAATCTTTACATTCAAGGCTGTAATTTGGGATTGTCTATTTACACTAAACTTAAACTAATTGAAAGGCTGTTGAGCTTTATGATCTTAGTTTTTAATAACCTATGATAATAATAACCATTAACATGTAAAGTAAACTGTTTTTTGGTATAACTTAACTTTGATAGCATCCATTGTAATTTAATATTTTTCACCTCGTGCGTGACCAAGTGATTAGCGTGCCGAACTATGGATCTACAGGTCCATCTTTCGTAGCAATTTACCACCGAAACTAAACAAATAAAGAAACACACTTTGTACTATAGGGCTGTGGATTCGTTGTCAAGGTGAAGGCCAAACTTCATTATTCAACGAAAAAACGGTAGCCGAAGTTGATGCTATTGACTAGTTTCCTTTCATGTAGTCTATCAGTTCAATATTATGAACGGCTGGTGCAAATGTTACTTGAGTAACTTTGAGCGAATGTCCGAAAGCAGGTAAATAAATAAACATGGAATGCTTTTTCTACATGTACTTTTCGATAGTGTCCCTAATCTCAACCATCTCTTCAGATTATCTCAGCAGAGAACTATTACTCTGCAGTAGGTTAAGGTATCCTTTGGTACCAACTAGTCGAGGTAGAATATGGTTGTACATCACTTTGTCCTCCAGCCGGAGTTCCTCTGTTCAAAACTCTTAGTCTAGGTCCTGTATGCATTAGCTAGCCCTCCTTGGAGAAAGTCTTAGTAACTAATAGATTATACAAATCCGTCTATACTGAAGTATCGCTTAGTTGATGTAGAAGACGAAGGAAAGATGAGGATAGAAACAGGTACTGTACTCGTGACCCAATTCTTTTTCCATCGATCTAGAGAGAATCGTCATATTTTCCATATATTTTCACACAGATGTTTGGGCCCCAAACATGTCTTGTTTTTGTCGGACAATCATTTTCTTCTAGTCCACATGAGGTATACACTGCATGACCTTCAAGAGATATTTTCTTTTTGGTGTCATGTGAACTGTGTGAAGGTAAAGTTTCTTATGTTTCTTGAGGGTGTAGATAATTTGCTCCTTTTCTGGTGACTTAGGTATCTTTGCTGGCAAGTGTTTCTTTAGATCATAGAAAATATGTGAAACAAGGCTTGTTCTTGTAGTATCTGACGGTAAACTATTTAGTCATAAACTGCAATATCTCGACAGTTTTATCAACATTCGTTCAAACGATGCTATGTTCAGAGGAATAGAGTCGTGTACGTCTGTTCACGTAGTCATGACTTTTTAACAATTTGCTAGACACATTATTAGGCATAGAACGATGAGGTCTCAAAGTGTTTTCAATGACAGTTTCAAGAATAAACTCAATTATTACTCCTTTTATTCGATGTTAAGAACCTTCGATATGCACTACTACATCTCTGTATTGCATCTCGATCATAAAGCATGTCTTCTGCTTCATGATCTTTCCTATACGTATGAGAAGATTCAAGACGTAAAAGTTGCAACCGTAGAATGTTATGAGATGCTAGAAAGTATTTCTCTATGAGTAACTGCTAGGCTCTTTTGATGTCTTAGGCATAGTTACTTTGCAAGGTAATAACTGACCCTTAAAAGTTTGTGTTTTCAAAGTGTTATTTATTATTTACATAAATGTGGCAAAACACACTCATATTGGCTAACTTTCTGTTAATTTTCACGTTCTGTAGCCTCTAGTACATAAATGTGCTAACTTTTATGATAAAAACGACTTGAGTTCATTAGGTTAACCTCATTTCTTGTCATTGTTCCTTTAATTACTTATTCTGGTAGTTTGTGTATGACACACTTTCATTTCCCCACAATATTTACAAATAGTCTCTGATTTTTCTCTCAGTATCATTTCAGTGTCACTCTATCATCCGCACAACGTTATGCTTTATATTTGATATTTTACTAGCAAACATCTATATGCATATATAGATATATATAGAGAGAAATATAGATATTTTTCCTATCCTAAATCCCAGATTAGTAATGCGAGCCTACCTGTGATCAACTTTATATACGTTTTCTTAGGGCTTTAGCTTTAGTGTTAAGGTTAATCCGTATCATGCCATTTCAATATCACCTTAGTAACGGACATTGACTTTATTAAACCAGGTAAATAAACAAGTATTGTACTTGAATTCACCCATTGATTTTCATTCACCCTGTAGGAAGGTTACTGGGTCTGGTTAGTTCTGTGTCTTCAAACATTAGGTGGAGGCGATGATGTGAGTGTTTATAAATGTATTATTCTACGAATTTTACTCTAACTTTTTTATTATGAACTCTGTCCTATTTTCGCTCTAAAACAGGCCAGCCTAATCAGAGTCTCCGTTCAGTAATCGTCGTCGCCAGTAGAAGTCATGTGTTAAGCCAAGTTTATTTGTTTCTTTTTGTTGAATTTCGCACAAAACTACTCGAGGACTACTTGCGCTAGCCGTCCTTAATACTGAAATGTTTGTATTATTTATTGTTAACTATAAAGTTGCATAATTGGCTATCTGTGCTCTACCCACAGTAGATATAGCAATATGATTTTGAGCCTAATAAGCCTTCAGCAAGATGTATATATAAAATACGTTTTTATAAATAGCTGCTGGAACGCATGTAACCCAACAACAGTGACTGTTGAAAGACATACGTTTCATATGCAAATTTCAGAAACCGCGCATGGGAAAAATTTTCAACCATGAAGAAAACCATTATCATGTACTCTGGGTCATTTATACGTACGTATTTAAGAATGCAAAAGTCGTGATTCATGAGTGATTTATTCTGCCCTCATGACTGTGGCTCAGAGGTATGTAGGGGAAGTATTGACTTGTTTGTTTGTTGCTAAGCAAAAAGCTATAAAAATGGTTATCTCTACTCACCCGGTATAGAAATCTGGATTTTAGCGTTATAAGCCCCAAGACTTACCATTGAGCCATAGTGGGACGAAAGTAAAGAAATAACATTGTTTACTGTTGATATACAACCCTGCCGAACATACGCTGGGACAAATATAACCCAACCGTTCTGAATTGGTTATTTGTGCTTTGAAAATAAATAACAAAAATATAATAATTAAGACTGGTAAAATAAATAGTAAATCTTTATGCTTCATTATTTTTTCTAGGGATAAGTCATAAAAAAGATTATCTGTATTATATATCCGTTTTTCACAGAATTGTCCATTTATGTTATTTTTTCCATCAACAGTGGCAGGTGGATTATCATATGTTTTACGTACATAACAAATATATTTCTTTACAGGGTTTTCAGAACGTCTGAAAAAAAAAATGAACCAAGTACAGTAGAATTAAACTCCCGTGTGTTAAAGGATTTAATAACAGGTAAGATCAGTCCCCAGATACTTCATACTTAAAAAGTGATGATTCCAAGACATGTGAGAGAAGTTTGTGAAATATGATTAGGACTCATTAAAGCTTAAACCTATATTCATTTGACATATATATAATTTCAGTGGAAATATTTCTGATTACTTTTGTGGACAATTCTGTTTGCAGAGGAGATCTTTCGGTCAATACCATAACTACTTATGCTTGCTTTCAGGTCTGACATAAATAGCATTTTAAATTACTTAAAGTGTTGCACCAACCACATAAATTATTTATTGGCAGGTCTGTAAGCACTAGTTTGTAGCAAAGTAAAGTGGAGATTCTATTACACACTATTTATACTGAACACATGTACTGGGGCTGTTAGATATGAAGTATTTGTGTTATGTACATTTTATTCTTTTGATGCGAGATTTAATAAAAGTTATAACTTAAATTGATGTGTTCACGTAAGTTTTAATGTGATATAATTATTTAATTTGTTTGATTAGATATAATACAATATAATTTATTTAATTTGTGATATAAGATATAATTCAATAGCAAATCATATGTGTATATATATATATTATTTACAGGATTTAATTTATTTCTTCAACATGCGTGATAACAGATATTTTCACTTTACGAATTTACTTATTTCACCCTTTTACTTGATTTCCTGTATTATGTCAATGTATCATCAATGGTTATAATATCTCAGTAAAACAATAATGATTATATTTTTTTGTTAAAGTGCCGACAGGAAGTATTACAGATACAACTATTTGGTGTTGTTTTAATTTCTTTATATTTCTTGTGAGTGGAAAAAAAGTTCTCCAATAACTTCATAAAATAGCTGTTTACATTCATCAAATTAACTGAAATACTATTTGAAATATTTTATATAGATTCGCGAAAAATCCTGAAGTTTCTGTTTGAAAATGCCCCCCAGTGGCTCAGCGGTATGTCTGCGGACTTAGAATGCTAGAAACTGGGTTTCGATACCCGTGGTGAGCAGAGCACGGCTAGCCCATTGTGTAGCTTTGTGCTTAATTTCAAACAAACAAACAAACTGTTTGAAAAATACATTTTATTCCAGAAATATGACAAATATTACACGATATGTATTATAATAACAGAATTATTCAGAACAAACATCCTTATACCAAATAAGTGACTTCCTTGCATTGAATTTCTAATCAAGTTTCGTGACAATAAGTTTAATATGGTGTATAACGACCATTAGATGTGACAGTAAGCCTGTTAGAGTCAGCTTTAGTGCATACATATCTCATGAAATAAGTGGTTGTGGAATGTAGCACTAATGATGTAAGAAGCGTTTGGGATATTTCGACTAAGTTACTCATACTCAGATCGTCTGTGCTAAAAAAATGGATCCACTGAAAGTGTACACGGGAAAGTGTTGTGATTTAAAACAGCAGATTTGTAATTACATCCATAGCAAACAATTTAATTAGCGATAGGAACTGCAACTTAGGAAATAAGAAACTCTTTATATCTGAGTTTACATACAGATTGCAACCAATGGGACATTCATAACACCTACGAATTCTGCGTCTTGCACTGGGAAGAAAGAATGATTATACAAAGAATAAATCATGCTATTTATTGTTTACTCTGGATGAAAAGGTCTGGGTTCAACTGGTACCTTGTAAACACTTTTTTACAACTATGAAGAGTGTTGAGGATGGTACCACGGCTTGAATCTGTTTTACCTGATTTTACCCGTTGGTGATATTTTAGCATCAGACAATATTATGCGCCCGTCACAATCTTAAGTAAGATGCATTTATTCCAAAATTATAATGTTCCCTGTTTGATCACCGAGAATAGCTCAAATAACACATACTTTCTCTGCTATGAGAGCGTTTTATTTCGCTAATTGACAATCAACCATATCGTCTAGAAATAGAAATATGGTGGCGTAAGAACACAGAAACATGTGGGGTCTTTCTAGGGCTGGTCCCTGTTTTTTAATAAATTATTAATTTTGTAATTATTTTAGCGTTGTACTCAGTTTAATTGTGTGTGTATATATATATATATATCTTGCACAAGTGCCGTTTTAAATTATTTACTTTGTCTGTGTTTAATAAGAGCTAAGAGTAACTGTAACCAAAGATAAATTCACTTTATTTCACTGTAGAATGTAATAGTTATCGTAAAGTAAGGAAATTTTGTTTCAGCTTATCTTAGCTTGTTAACTTTATTTTCCGATTTTCAGTTTTGGCTTTTGCTAAAACTTTAATTCAACTTAAAATCATAGCCTTTGAATAAATTATCTGCAGTGTTCTTATCAGTTTGGCACGTTTGGCCCTATTTGTTTTCTGTTTTGCTTTTTATCAATAAACATTTGTGTACTTGGAAACCTATCGTTCTCGAGTCTTTCTACTTGATAATCTCGGTTACAAATAGGAGAGACCACTACACACTACACTCCGTATTCCGGTATTCTCTGGATCTCCAATCAATCGGCCCAACTGAATGTTCTGCAGGAAAACCCTCTTGCATAGGAAATATTTAAAGGAACCATTGATGATTTTATTGTCTTGAAATTTTTACGTGTTCTACAACAATTCCTGTAGGTTGAATCCGAAAATGATATCCATTTTTCTCCATCACGTACAGATTTTTTTACAAAACGTCATAACGCAATGCATAAAAGAAAGACCACAACACGTAGTTTGAGACTAAAAGACGTAAATGTCATTAAAAATGAGGATGCATATTCGTTTCACATCATTGTTTTTCCCTTTGCTTTAGTTCGTTTCCATTTTTATTAACGAACATAATAATAAATAATGTCCATTGTGGTAAAAAAAATAATAGTTTGATTTAAGTAAGAGTTTTTTTTCTTCCCAATTTGTAAAAAATCCTTACGTAATAGAAAACAATTAATATTATTTCTGAAATCTGCGTAGCTGGATTATGGAAAATCTGTTATTAAAACCAAAACAACTTTTATGAAGTTTAAATTTGCAGGCCTGTGCTATTTGTGTTAATGTGATATTTCAGATCTAAAGTACAACATCAGTTTTTAATGCTATAGGAAAGAACCATATTTATTTCACAATGATAACTGATCTTATCATATACTACTCCATTATCAACAGAAGATTGAAACAAATAACATTCAGATATCTTTTGGTTATCCGACGTCCTCTGTCTGAATCCATCAGTGATGTCTCTAAAATTATATCTAACAAAAACCAATAAAGGTAATAAAAGTGCTGAAAAGTGCTTCATTACTACTGACTTTTGACTTTCTTCATTATCAGAAGCAGTCCAAGTGACCTTAGGTTTCAATGCTACTATCAAGGAAGAAGCTCCGGAGATAGAATCACACATAAGGTATCAGTTAGCTTCTATCCTGGAGGTTGAAGAATCGAGAATCATGAATCTTGTGTTAATATCAGGTAATTTAAGATTTATTTTACAAAACATTTCACACACTGAGGTTTTGACTCGTAGAAATACAGGAGAAGAATTAGCGACATTTATTAGAAGTATTAGTTCATTCAAATGAAGATTTAATATATCACCGCACTTGATTAATAAAATATAAACAGAATTCTGTAATGAAACATGTCAACATATTTAAATTATTCTTCGTAACATTTTTAATTGGCCGTTTGCGTTTCTGTATCAAAATCATTGGAATTGAAGCATCTCAGAAATATTACTTTCTGTTTTAGGATTGACCGTAGGAAAATGTTATATTACTAGCTCTCTCACCTCCCACGCTTGCTTTTAATGAAACATGTGAAAAAAATCTGTTTGCTAGTGTGTGTGTGTGATGATGGATAAACAACAAATATTTATTGGTGGTTTTTAACAAATAATGACGTCTCACTGTTTGTTTGATTGTTATATATATATATATATATTAAGTACACCTTAAAACACATTTCTTTTTCTTCCTATCTTAATATTGTACATTATAACCGTTGATAATTCTTTACAGATTTGAAAGTAGTCACCTTTGTCATAAAATTAGAACACAGCTCCAGGGTTTTAAGTCGACTTGAAGATCTTGTAAGAAACAAAGAATTGCGTCTAGTAGATCAAGATGGCAATCTGGTGGAGGTTGTTCCTCATCTGTTCTTTGTTAAAAATGTGTTTTTGCCTTCATTGTCAGGTAAGTTTTTGAAATACTTTTGTTTCTCTGTTTGACAAAGTCATTTATGTAATTCATAAAGAGGTCATTTTCATATAACATTATACTGATAAAAACTTTGCAAAGGGAAAAACACTGTTGGTGAATATTTTCGTGAATGGGATACTTATTTAAACTAGGATATCGTGTTTAAAAACATTGAGTATTTATCTCAAGTTCAAGGTAGGAACGCTGTAAGCATAATCAATCTATAGTATAAACGTACAGTATTGTTTATAATGGTGGAAGTTTTCCTTATTATTTTATAAAATCAACTTACAAATACAAATATATACATCTAAATATTTCAGGTATTCAAAACGTTCCGTTCCCTTGCTTGTAAATCGGAAGGATTCGTCTAATTAAGTAACTATTATCAAGAATAATACAGGAGCACAGTCAACAACTGTAGATTTATCAGCATGTCTGGAAGTACATAGAGTAATTACATCTATTTGTTTGTTTGTTTGTTTTGAATTTCGCGCAAAGCTACTCGAGGGCTACCTGTCCCTAATTTAGCTGTATAAGACTAGAGAAAAGGCAGCTAGTCATCACTACCCACCGCCAATTCTTGAGTTACTCTTTTACCAACGAATAGTGGGATTAACCGTCACAATATAACGACCTCATGAGCGTGTTCAGTGGGACGGGGATTCAAACCCGCGACCCTCAGATTGCGAGTCAAGCGCATTAACCACCTGGCCTTGCCGGGCCCAGTGAATTTATAGCTACTGGTATGTTATTCACAAGAAAAGTTGTTGGAAACTATTAATTTACGTGAAGACTATACATGTTCATGAACTCATTTACAGAATACACATCCATAACATTATTCAATACACACAACATCGCTATTTATAAAAGAAACAGGTAAACTGAACAATAATAGTCGAATATTTTTATTCTCAGTAACTTAATGTTCTGGTTACTCTGTAAGTTTATTTAATGCACCTTAAACTTATTTTCAACTCATTACAGCCAAAATAATATTTATATTTTGATCCGAAATATTTTGTTGTTAATTATTAGGTTTATCCTACTTTAACAACATATACAATCACCCTCAGAAACGCTTTAAAGTTTTATGTTTTTTTTAAACAGCAACAGTTACTACATAACATGCTTATTCAACTATTTATTTTTGTTCCGAGGTAGGTCAGCTATAAGTTGGCGAACTTACAACGCTAAAAATTCGGGTTTGTTTCCTTGCAGTGGCTAGAGACAGAAAGCCCATTTTATAGCTTTTTCTTAATAACAAAAGCTTCTATTTTTGTTTTAATTAGCGAGGAAATCTCACAAGTTTAGCAAAATAAAATGAAAAGAATTTTAAATTGAAGAGGATTGAAGGATTTTCTTGTATTTTTCAGAAAACAAAACGAAATATGGTACAATTATTTACATCCTAGTGGCATTGCTACTCGTTGTAAGTTTTCTGATATGCAACATAATAACCCTGAAGAAGAAGATGAAACGATGTAAAAGAATTGGTGTACGTTCCATACCTACCGAGACGAACAGTGTCTTCACAAGACATGCATAATTGGTTTAGATGTAGTGTTATACTTTGTTGAGATTGGTGTGATATATAAAGTAATTGATAATTATCACTACAATTGTATAAATGTTGCACAATATTCTGTAATTACCCAAACACTGGGCACATTGTTTCATGATAATCATTCACAACAAACATAGTGCGTGTGTGTGTGTAGTGTTTTAAGAGTACTTAATTGTATTTATATTATTTTTTAGATTAGTAATTGTATTTTGGAGCTGTGACGATTGCTTCACTTTTTTTATTGTATTTTAACCAACCAAACAAACTAATGTGTTCAGCGTGATTATTTTTCTAAAGCTGGAAGTGAGTCAACATCATTTCCTTTAAAAGACGCATTTTGAACCAAATATTGTACTTAACGTTTACTAGCTTGTAAACTCATATTATGTTTGAAGGCTTGATTTGAATTGAAGAGCAAAATAAAAGTATTTATTGACTCAGTTCCTTCGAGTAGTAAATATTATTCAATGTATGACCATCTAATGATAATTACTGTAAAGAAAGATGTGGAGCGTGAAGATAAATGCCACCATCGTATTGCACATTGATCTCAGTTGTCAGATGAAGTTTCGTTGTTCAGAAACGTTCCTGACTAATTCCAAAATCTACTAGATTATCATGGGGTCAGATAATGCTCCATTACATATATTTCAATTCCGTCCTTGGCCACAGGTGACTTAAATCGTTGCCGTGTATTATCCGAGCTTGTTAATTAATGTTTTAGTGTTCCATAGAAACCACTGGTCTCTAGAATTAAGGTTCACTAATATCGTTCAGAAAATAATCAAATACCAAAAAAATGCAGGTTCTGAAAATAATATGCAAAGTGCCAAGATGAACAGGATAACGAAAGAAAAACAATTAATCAATATATTTATTCACAAACTGTTTTTCTTGGTATCTTATTTACTATTTTCCTTATCTTTTTGTTATGGTTTTTCACCATATAACCACATCATCATGTAACAATTTGTCTATACGTGTTGAGAATGAATTTTCTAAAATATTCTCATACAGACACCAACGCAAGAAGAATACAGGTTCACACAGGATAAGGATAGGAGTAAGAATATTCAAATACCATACTTTCATTTCACATCAAAGCCTTAGTGTGAGAGCTTACAATCCTTAGATAACCTACATCAATGACTATTCTAATTAAAATGGAGTAAGAAGAAAATCCCCAACTCATGATAACTTGTACAAGTATCTGTTTAACCTCTTCAATTGACTTACAACCTTTTTACATCAGTTTTACGAGGAAGACATTAACTATGTGCACCATGTCTCCGTGAAATTGGAAAAAAACGATCGTGAATATGTATGACCTAATATATATTCTCAAGACCCAGTAATGTTTATTGCTGATATTCATACAATCTTATACATACATTTATTTTTTGGGGGTACAATAAGCGATGCACGTGTAAAAGCTAAATTTCTTTGGGCAAGATGTGTTACGGACCCTATAAGAACAGCACAGTTTTGTCCAGCATATCAATCCATACATGTTTTTATATATACGTATAGCATACAAAACAATATGGTGCTATGGATTTTTCCCTTCATGAACTTCAACCCATATTCAAGTAAATCTGATAAATTACTGTGAGCTTGAGAAGCTAAATGACTTCTGAACATACAGCTTGTATTCAGAAACCAGAAGTTCACAGTTGACGTCTCCTACATATAAAGCGACCTATGCATGCAACATAAAGATTTTCACTCGATTTGTAGAAACTAAACAACTAGAAATACTCAATTGTTTTTACAAATTAACACTAGATCCTTGTTTATTGGTAATGGTGATGTTGAGTTCTGGAATATAACAATGTAAACGTTATTACAGCTATTACTTCAGGTGGGCTGGAGGAAACCGACGTTGTTGATTACGTGAATCAATAATAAATTTACAATATAACTGAGTAAAATGGGTTTTCCACATTTAGAGTAGAGTGAAAATAAAATTATTATTCCTAAAAATACTGCATAAAAATAGTGAGTTTACTTTAGTTTATTACATACTTACTTACAAAACTAGATCATTGACGTGTTTCTAGATCTGAAAACTCGTTCAATATCATGGATTGTACTGAAATAAACAGAAAAGTTGAAACTAGTATTATCTTGTGTATAATGTATATCTTTAGATAAGCATTTGAAAAATCTTTATTAATTTCAATAGTGAAAGGAACTAAATAATATTCTGCTATTGGAAACTAAAATGTAACTCTGTGGAAGGTACTTGAGATTTTACCACTCCTGTTTCGAATTCTAACACAACATTAAACGTCATGTTGATGATCATAAGATACATTTTACTGGAACTTTCATTGATTTTTAGACAGGTTTTTATTAAACCATTTGGTTTATTCACACAAAGGAAAGACATGAGAGGGTTTTAGAAGTGTTATTAAATCATAAGAGCTTGAAGTTAAGTATACTTTGCCTCCTCCCCCTCAGCAATAAGTCTGAAGGCTCTTGTTAAATACATGGTTTTGACACTCGTGGTGGGCAAATGAGCAGATAGCCCATTTTTTAGCTTTTTGCTTTATAAAATACAAATAAGACAAAACATTGACTTTTATCATGATTATACAAGCTTGACTGTCAAGCACTAATCGCTCACAGTTTTAGTTTCTCATCTGTTTTGTAAGCAGTAGATATATAGACTTTTAATAAATAGTTTGTTTTGAAAGAAATAAAATTCCGGGTAACATTTCGACATACTTACATAGAAACTGATAACGGTAAACTTCGATACGTTATGTGGTATATCTAGACCACCATATGTAACAATAAAAGTCTGCAACAACTAGTAACTGAATTTTTATGAAGAAAAAATTAAACACATAATCAAATGTTCGAAGGTAGTAAATATAAAAAACATTGCGATAAGTATAAGCAATACGAATAAACGTACCTTAAAACATTCACCTAAATTGAAGCTAAAATAAATATAATGAAGTTAAAGATTTTGTTTGGTTCAATATTCCTTTCATTCGCAAACGATCTGAAATGATTTTTTTGAGAAAGGTGATTTACTCAATAACTTCTTTAATGAATAAAATTATCCCTAATGCTCCTGTTACAGTGAAAGATTTGTAAAATAAATGTCAACTGAATATAAGTTAATATATATCAAAATGTAATAACAAATAGCAATAACAAAAACGGCAAAACAGTGAGGTGTTTAATTTAATCTTTTGCATCTGCAACTATAAAAAATGTGTCAGAATCCTCAAATCTATTTCGGGTAATGATTCTAAAGAAAACCTTCCGTTGGAATGTATAAGTAATTGCATTAATTCGTGTGTCTTTAGAATTCGAAACCAAAATCTACTAAGACAAGGACAAAAGATGTTAGAAAGTTCTTGTAGATAATCTTTGAACATGTTAGTTAGAAATAAAATGCTTTGTTTAAAAAGAAAAAGTAAAAATTTCGATGGAAACTATGTTAAATAGTGATAGGATAAAATAAGATGTGAATTGAAGAAAATGTGAAACAAATAAAACTAAAAAGATAAACGTGTAAAATTATCATAAATTAATAATATGTATTGAGAAGTATTAGGGGAAAATATAAAGAGGTCACACCAACAATAAAAAAAAAACACTTCTATTATTCTGACAGAGGACTAATTAATGGCCGAAGATCACTAATTCCAGGACCTATATTTATTCCATAAAGTTGAAAGTGGCAATCCAATAAGCTTCTTTAATTTCTCCATCAGTTTTGAGTATGAATCCGGTTTAAGTGTCGGTGAGAATCATATCCTTAATAGAATGACCGAGTTGTTTGAAGTGTTGGGCAATTGGGAGGACTTTTTCTGTGTTCATAGAAGAGTTATGGTTGTTGAAACGCTTTCTAAGTTTTTTATGTCTGTCCTGCATACTGAGGACTGCATTTTTTTATTTAAATTATATGAGGTAAATGGTGTTGTGTGGTGTGCAAGTAATTTCTTTAGTGAGTTTAAAGTGTTTTTTGGTTATATATGTCAGAAAATGAGTCGGTAGTGTTTTATGAATGACACATATTGCATGGCTAATAGTCATGTTTCTTCAAACCAGTCACGATTATTTTGTGCACTGACTGCTTTACTCACCCAAATTGACAGCCAGACAAAAAATAACATAGACTGTCCTACATAAAACTAGCTGGAGTAATTGATGATATACTTCTTTGTTCTGCATCTGTTGTGGTGTCAATCTGAGTAGTACTTAGGCCTTGTAAAAGGATATGAATATTCCTGTAACTAGTGGTCAAATAAGTCATAGCTGAAGCAAAGGCTCCTTTCTTGTACTCTTGGTACTTTTGAGAGCCCACTTTTTGTAGAATATGTCACATAACCAAAGCAATAGGGCCTGGGAAAAATGTGGCAGCTGCATTGGGACAAGTAGTTAGCACTTTTCAGATTTGAGGCCATCGAAAACTGTGGAGGCTGTCTTAGAGCTAAATCTATAACTGCAGTTTTCAATGCTTCTGTTTCCTTACTTTGCTCTGAATATCATTTAAACCGAAAGTTGCAAGGTCTTGCGAGCAAACCCTCAGTACATATTCACCAATGGCTTTTTTCAAATTAATTCATTTTAATGCATTAATACGAATTTATTCAAAATCTTCATATTTCCAAAACTTATAATTTTTTATTAATAACGTTATGTTCATCCACGTTTTTCGTAATGTAATGTTCTCAACATATATGTTCCTGTTAGTTACAGTGGTTAACTCCTTAATTTGCTGATATCCAAAAGATAATTCGTATCCATGTAAAGGTATGAGACATTTCAAAATCTGTTGCAGCTAATCGTGTACCTTATTGTCTCTTAGGATGCACTAATTATCATTAAATACTTATATATTGAATAATGATTACTACATAAACTGACTCAGTAACTGCTTTTATTTTTCATATCAGCTCAAATCAAGCTTCCAAACATAATAGTGAACCACACGTGTGTGCATCTTTAGATTGTAGTAATGTTAACATACTTCCAATTTTAGAAACGGAAATCACGACAAACACATTAAGTAGTTTGATTAAATATAATATGATCCAAACGTGAAACAATCAACACAGCTACAAGTGCAAATACTAAACGGTCTCTCAATTCATAAAGTGTTACACATAGGATTAAGATATAAGTCTCTTTGGAATGTATTATCATCATAATATACTGAGTGATCTTATAACTCTACACAAACCGGATTATATCGTGAATGGTTATAATGAAACAATGTCTTCAAGTTTTGAGTAATTACAGATTATTGTGCAATATTTATACGATTTTAGTGACATTTATCAGTTGTATATTAAATCATCCATTATCAACTTCAACAAAGTATAACACTGCATCATGTTGTATATTAACGTGTAAATTAATCATGCATGTCTGGTGAAGATACTGTTCGTCTCCGTTGGTACAGAATGAACATCAACCTTTTTTCTTCGTCTCATCTTTTTCCGAATGGTTATTATGCTGCATATCAGGAAACTTATAACGACTAGCAAAGCCGGTAGGGTGTAAACAATTGTACCACCATTCGTTCTGTTTTCTGAAAAACACAGGAAGAAGATTCTCTTCACTTTAAAATTCATTTAATTATATTTTAGTAAATTAAGTTTTTATTGAACTAAAGATGTATAATTAGTTATCTGAACTTTATCCAAGACGTTTCTTTGTTTATTATACTTACTGCGAATGTGGAATAAATCTTCTAATTAAGAATTATATTTTTCGGAAAATACCTCTAATGAATTGGAAATAATTTTAAATTTCCTCAAACTTATAGAATTTACAAAGAATTAATTGACCCAAATAAAAACGTAAGATATTAAAATATTAGTATTAAGATTTCCTATTTCTCGCATAAAGAGTAATATAAAGTTAAGCTGTTTATATCGAGGGATATACATTTTGTAAATAAGTTCATGAACGTGTCTACTTTTCAAGTAAGTTACAAATTTTTTAACGACTCCTCTTGTGAACAACGTAACTGCCGCTATACCTTTTCTGTCACTTTTCATTCAGGAATTGAATTTCCCAAGTATACAAATTAATCACAATATTTCAAATTATTGATATTTTAAATTAACAATTTTAGACGATTTACTTTAATCATATCATTGTTTTATATTCATTAATTTATCCCAAAAGCATTGTTCATAATTTTGTCCTGGCATTGAACTGTTCACAACAGTGTTCAATATCTACAGTTTGAAATGATAACTTTACAAATTTTACACACTAACAACAATTTGAAACGTTTTTAACAAGTTCATTGATGACGTATTTCTTTCTACCTGATAAATTTTGATTTGGTGACTGGGTTCCAATGTTATTCTCGATAATGGTTATTTAACTGGTGAATCACTCACATTTATAAGCGAGGAAACTGAATGTCTCAAACGTTTGAAATCTTTGGATATATTTATATATATGTTGTTTATGAGTTCATTTAGTGTAGGAATAAAAATCCTTCTCTCGGTAAGAGTACTAAAGTGAATTTATATTATAGATCCATGTGATCACATATCCATCGTACCTACCTTGATCAACTTTCCGATCTTGAGATAAATATGTAAAATGTGTAAACTCTCTCTCCTTACACGACTATGCTTCACGTACAACAAATATTGATCAGAAGTGGTTTTCCAATGTAAACCTTCCTAAAGATTTTATTGATATAATGTTATATAAAAATAATGTTTTTATGAATTACACGAACGACTTTCTAAAACAGAGAAACATGAAAGTTAAATTACTTACCAGACAATGAAGGTAAAGGCATATTTTTAACAAAGAACAGATGAGGAACAACCTCCACCAGATTGCCATCTTTGTCTACTAGACGCAGTTCCTTGTTTCTTACAAGATCTTCAAGTCGACTTAGAACCCTAGAGCTGTGTTCTGATTTCATGACAAAGGTGACTACTTTGAAATCTGTAAAGAATTATCAACTTTTGTAATGTACAATGCATAATAGTTGAAGTTTCACATAATTAAACTTAGAATAAGTTTTAAGGTTGTACGAAGTATCACTAAGACAAAATTAGTTTTCATTTACTTACTTTTCAAATTTATGTGATCACAATCAATAAAACTATTTGGGTTGTTTATCACCACACACTAGCAGACAGACTTTTTACGCCCCATCAAAAGGAAGGTTTGCACAGAGAGAGAGAGCTAGTAATATAATCTTTTTCTTGTGGTTAATCCTAATTCAGAAAGTACTATTTTAGTGCTGCTTCAGTTTCTAGTATTTTTGATACAGACAGACACACACGGTGAATTTAGGATTCTTAGAGGAATAATTTAAATATTTTGTCATGTTTTCCTGCAGGATTGTGTTTGTGTTTCAGTACCTGAGGTAATATATTAATTTTCATTTCAACGAACTAATACGCCTGCTAAATATCACTACTTCATCTTTTCTCTTTGTAAGAGTCAAACCTTCAGTATGTATGATGCAATTTAATGAAATCATATATTACCTGATAATAACACAGGATTTATGATTCTTGATTCTTCAATTTCCAGGATAGAAGCTAGTTGATACCTTATGTGTGATCCTATATCTGGATCGTCTCCCTTGAAAACAGCATCGAAACCTAAAGTCACTTGGACTGCTTCTGTTGATGGAGGAAGTCAAAAGTCAGTAATATCAAAAACATTTGAATAATTTGATTACCGTTATTGGTTTTAGTTGGATAGATTCAGATACAACATGTAGAATGGACATGAAATGATATATGACGAAATCAGATATCATTTTGAAACACGTGTATACATGCATGTAATACTTGTCTAAAATATCACATTAAGACTAGTAATTCATAGCTCACTTAAATATTTTGATATTTTTCACCCAAAAGAATCGTCCCGCAGAACATTCAGTTGGACTCACTGTCTGGAAGTTGGGAGAATACCGAACTACGGAATACAGTGATTCCTCCGATCTATAACCGGCTTCATCAAGCAGAAAAACTACACACTGATAGTTTCACATGTACAGAAATGTTTATTTACAAAAAAAAACACAATTATAATCCAAATAACAAAGCCAAGCAAAGGGAAAGTGTGTCGAACTGATCAGAGAAATGTGAATACTTTAATCAAAGCTTAGATTTCAAGTTTAATTGAAACTTCAGTTAATATCAGAGGTGAAACAAATAAATTAACAAGTTAAAATAATGTAAAACAAAGCTTGCTTGACTTACAGCAAACACGGTGAAGTAAAGAGAGTTTACTTAAAATTAAAGTTATTGTCAGGTCTCACCAAACATAACTAATATAACTCTCAAATTGTAATGATTAAATCTGAAAGTAAAGAAACATTAAACATCACATTAAAGATTTTCAATATACAAAAGTAAAAAGTCAAAGTTATCCAAGCTACAAAAGATCGTACAAAATATTTAGAATTCTTCAAAGCTTCCAAATATATTTATGTATCTCTTACAGGTGTATATGTGGTTTTGCATATAAAAACAAAATGTATATATAAATTTAAGTTTGCATATGAAATGCACCACACGTCTAACAGTATGCTGCAAGGTGGTTGGTTAATTACCAATTTGCAAAATAACATTTTGCATGCTTACAAAACAGGGAAACTTAATATGTTACTTGAGCGACTCTAAGAACTCTGAAAAATATAATAATTTTGAAAACATACATCTTAATTAAGGGTGTAACGCGTAAATAGTATCATCTTGCATTATGATATCACTAATAGATAAAGTCCTAAACATCTATATGAGGCTCAGATCATAGTATCATCCTCAGAACCCTTCAGTGTTGGAATAATACGGTCATATCCAAAGTGTATTTCAAGTTGCAGTTGAACCAGATCTATTCGCCCAAAGAAAACAATAAGTCGCATGATTCACTCTCTGTGTAATCACTCACTATCTTTCTCAGTGCAACACGAAAACTAGCGCGTGGAATTAACAGTTGTGAGGGATGGTTCACAGAGTTTCCTACCCACAGTAAATGTACTGAATTATAGTCCAGATCTGTTTTTGTTTGTTTGTTTGTAGTTAAGCACAAAGCTACACATTGGGCTATCTGTGATCTGCCCACCACGGGTATCGAAACCCGGATTCTAGCATTGTAAGTCCGCATAAATTCCGCTGTGCCACTGGGGGGCGTCAGATCTCTAATTAATATTGTAGGTTACGTATATACTTCCTGATTTATTGTTATGAATCACAGCATCTATCTATACCCTGAGGGTCGCGGGTTCGAATCCCGTCACACCAAACATGCCAACCTCCGCCTTTGCCCGGTCCCAAGTCCAGGATTAGAAAGGAGGAGGGTTGGGCCACAAGTAACTGCAACAACAACTTCCGTTGGCGAGTTGTTGTCGCGGCCCTATGGTCCACTGGGAGTTTACAGGAATAAATAAAAAAAAAGTTAGACTGAAATATCTCGAATGCTCATACTATGAGAGCTCAGTCTCATATC